CAACGGGAGAGGCCGCAACAGTGAGAGGCCCGCGTACCGCAAAAAAAAAAAAAAGTAAAATCTTGCACACAAAAAATCATGTTTTGAATACCAATCTAGACAAATTTATAATGAAAAATGACTTTTGAAAATTTGTTCCACAAAAATTAATCTGTGGTTTGAGCAAATAAAATGCAGAGTAGTTTCTCTAGTTGGTGTGATTTTCATTTGTTTCTTCGTGTAGAAAAAGGAATGTCACAATAAAAGATAAAAGCTACATAAAGGGAAAAAAGGTCATTGTCCGCCTTTATAGTGAAGAGCAATTCACAAGGGTAACTTATTCAGCATTTATTTTTTGAAAAGCAAAACTGTATTTTTTGGGCTTCCCTGGTGGCGCACTGGTTGGGAGTCCGCCTGCCGATGCGGGGGACACGGGTTCGTGCGCCGGTCCGGGAAGATCCCACATTGCCGCGGAGCGGCTAGGCCCATGAGCCATGGCCGCTGAGCCTGCGCGTCCGGAGCCTGAGCTCCGCAACGGGAGAGGCCACAACAGTGAGAGGCCTGCGTACAGCAAAAAAAAAAAAAAAACTATTTTTTACACATGATCAGGTTACTACAATAAAAAATTAAATTTCAGAAGGAGATGAGAGTTGTTTTGGGTAAGTTATGAGTTAAATGACATTTTTAGTTCATTTAAATATGATGAAAATTTCTCATTAGTGGGAAAGAACATCATTAAGCATTCTTCTTTCCTGGAAAAAAAAAGTGCGTATTTTCATAATTCACTTAGGAAAACAAAAAACTGACCTCTGGCTCCCAGACCTCTTCGGTACACCATAAGATTTGAGCAGCATGACCTTGTATTTCTCAGCAAGAAAATACAGCAAGATTGGCACCCACAGGAGCCTGAAAGTGTTACACTGGACCACTTCCTTGACAGAATGCATCACATTTCTGCTTAACGACTGTCCAGACATAGTTCATCAGTCAGTGAAGAGAAAACCATTTCCCCCACTTCTTTAGGAATCTGTGTCCTCAAAATATTGTCACACAGGAAATAAATTGCCTGATGTAAACCTGCAAGTTCATCTTTCTTCATTTCATCTGGGTTTAACAAAGTCAGTAGACTCAGTGAAGCATTATCTCTTTCACTAAGTTAAAACATGTAGGAAACCTGTTTTTCTCTTAATGCTAAATTCAAGTATTTTAACCTTTCTATCCGGGTTCAGTCAGGAAAACAACCACCTGATGATGTAAGCATAAAGGGTTTCAATGTGGGGAGTCAGAAGCTTCCACCAAGCGTCAGAAGGGCAGGTGAGGGAAGGTACATCTGCATTACCGCCCTGGGCAGATGTCGGGAGCTGGCCCAGGAGCCCGTGAGAATCTGGAAGCATCCAGGAAGCTCCTGTCACCTCAGCCTGCAGCACCGACACAGTGAGTCTCAAGGAACTGTCACCACCTGTCTAGGCTGTTGACAGCACCCAAAGCAGGTGACCTGTGAGAGATTTTGGAAGCTGCTGCGATGCCCGTGTCCGCGGGCCTGTGCACACTTCTGCCTGGATGGCCTCCAAGGGAGGGTGGCCTCTCCCTTCTCTGCCTCCTCCATCCCCTGGAAATGCTTCTCTTTGGGCCACACTGACTTAGAACCAGAAAGCAAAGGAGGTTCTGGAAAATGTAGTTTCTGGCTTCCCTGCAGTGCAAAGAACACTACAGAAGGAGGGGACAGTGATGTTGAGGTGACAGCAGACAGCCCATCACAGTGGTGAAACGCTGATAGGTGGAAAGAGCACAAACAAGGTGAAGCAGAAAGCCTCACAGAATTCTCCTCCGTTAGGGGTTCTTTGATGGGGAAAAAAAAATAACACTGATTTTAAATGGTAAACAAGTCCATTTTCCCAACCAGAGCAAAGTCTCTGTATTATATATACTCTGGGACCCCAGCACCTCGCTATTTCCTTCCTCTCTCCTTCCCTAGTTGCCCAATAAATATTTGTGTACTTAATTTGGCATTTATTTTGTGCCAGGCTGCCACATGCCCGGGCACAGAGGGTATTAGAGTGAACCAAAAGAATGTGGTCCCTGCCCTCAAGGAGCTTACCTTTTGGTATTAAGCAGGTAAAAAACACTTGATGTTAGGAGGAAAGTGGTGGGTGGGAGAGGAAGGAGGTAAGGGAAAAACTGAATGAGGATGGATTCATCGTTCTTTGGACCACCTACACCTGGGGACTGCTCATTCTTACAGACTGGCTTCCTGTTTATCCCATTACCTCATTACCAAGTAACTGAATTTCATTCTCTTTTCTCAGTTAACAGACTACTAGAAAAGTGATAGTTTTCTTAAAAGTAGCTACTAATTTGAAAGTTGATCTGTATGTATTATCTCCAGGAAACAACTTTCCATCGTTTGGTGGCAGCATCTGGATTCAGAGCTAGGGCATCCTGATAGGACTGACATTTATAGGACTTTTGCAAAATTATTACTCCCAATAGAGGGAAGAGCACTGGAAAGAGAGGAAAGAGCTAAGGGAATTTTGGAATCCATGTTTCTTCAGAATGCACTCAAAGCCAATGCATTATGCATGCTCCTAGTAAAATGTCCCTTAAAACATTTTTAATTTAACCCTGCCCTATCCCTTGGCAATTTTTATTTTTTTTTCCTTTGGTATCAAAAGGGAATAAAGAACACCCTCAATGGCTCACATTAACCCATTATCTCATAATTTAAATACTGTTTCAATTGGTCAATTTTAATCCTTTGTTTTCGCAATCCTTTGGTTAACATGAAAATCATGAATATCAGGAAACCTTATTTTTCTCCAAATAATTCCAATTTTAAAAGCAGAAGTAGAACTAAGTGACACACTAAATAGATTTTTATAGACCCTGTTGCTTCTGGCAGGTTTTTAAGAGGTTGGTCATTTAATTACTCAGAGTGGGATTCTTGTAGGTTTTGTGTAGTGATGGCATTCCT